CCCTAAACCCTAAACCGGAGGTCGGGAACTCTTGGGCGGAGCGTAGAGTCGAAGTCTTAGGACCCGACTCCCAGGACCCGGAGCCGCGAGCCGAAGCCCCTGCAAGCGCCTGAATCATGAGGGTAGTTCTCTAAATTAGGGTCTCTTTTAGGGGTCCTTTTTCTAAGGGTGCCGTAGTATATTGGGGACTTAAAAAGGGATCCTAGTTTAGAGAACTACCCACTAAGCCGGGACGAAGCCTGAAGTCTTGGACTAGATGGGTTTCGTGGTGCGTAGAGCTGCTCGGCATCAGGTGAGCAGCTCAAGTGGGGAGGTGGGAAGATTCTGGCAAGTGCTGGGGATGGCACCAGACTTCCGCATGATCTGCAGATACACCTTGAACCCTAATCCCTAAACCCTAGGCGCTAAACCCCAAACCCTAAACCCTAAACCCTGCACACATTGGAGGAACTTGGACCCGGAACTCGAGACTGATTTTTTTCTTCGCGCTTTTCAACTTGCTAGGCCCTTTGGGGAAGGTCCACCGATGGGGCGAGCAGATGCTTGGCAAAAGCAGTGGAGTTTGGGGCTTTAGGGTTTCTACGATTCAGCGTTGAGGCATGAGCTAAGTTTAAGTGTCGCAGTCATCATCTTAGCGCCTTCTGCTTGTGTAGGAAACCCTAAACCCTAAACCCGGACCTAAACCCTAAACCCTAAACCCTAAACCCTAAACTGCCCTAAACCCTAAACCCGAACCCCTAAACCCTACAAGCCTAAACCCCAAGCCCCAGCCAGAACTCCGAACCTGTCACGCAGAGTTTTCGGCCCCCAGGAGGCCGAAGCGGCTCGGCTCCGAGATGGGCGGAGGTCGAAGGGTCCCTGGATCCGAGGAGCCGCGGATTTTCGGGGCTTTCAGAGGGTTTTGGGGTGTTTTATGGGGTTTTATGGGGGGGTTTAGAGGAATTTTAGGGTGTTTGGGGGAATTTTAGGGGGTTTAGGGGTTTTGGAAAGTTTAGGGGTTTTAGAAAGTTAAGAGAGTTTAATTTAAGAAGTTTAAGGGGGTTTAGGGAGTTTAGAGTTCAGTAGGGCTTAGGGGTTTAGAGATTACTGCGTCGGGTCTTAATTAAGAATGTCAGCGCGTGTATGCACACACTCAGATTTCTCCCTATATCTCTGTATACACACACAGGCAATTATGTGCTAGCGAAAGAGTGGCTATTCTACGAGCTACCCGAACGAGTGTGGTCACTTGGTTTTGTCATGTTTACTCATACCTGCACTACCAGAGCATGCGCTAGTGCTTTCTGTATTTGTGATAATTAGCAATGTCATGAAAAAACCAGGGGTGTTACTTGTAACAAAGTCTACGACAAGCCTTCAAGCGTGGTTCTTGATTGAAGCCTTTTCGGCTGTGCATAGCTGCTCTTCCCGGTGCTTAAAGCTTTGGCGTGGGCGCTTCCAGCGGTTTTCGAGCTTTTCCATGCCGCTAGTGCTGAACTACCGCTTTACGTTTATCGATGCAGAAGACAGCGACGAGGCAGCTCAGGGTGTCCAGCTTCGACGGGCGCTGACACCACCACCTCCACGTCCCGGTCACATGAGGCACCTTGGTGAAGGTGCTCATTCAGAAGATCTCGAGGTGGCACGCTGCCGAGACTACTTGAATGACTTGATGAATGAATGCGGGCTCGTTGGTTCCGGTGAGCATGGCCCTTGCAAACGGATGCCGGATGGAAGCAAGGATTCCAACCGCGCCGCCGTAGATGCTTCAAAGGGTGCATCGGAACAGATAAGCGGTGGCAGCCTAGGCCATCCCATCGCATGTCGTCGCCCATGTGTGCACATGACGAAACGTGGTCAATGCCTGAATGGCAGTGTCTGCGGCTTCTGTCACTTTCCACATCTGCGGGAGGCGGGACACAAGGCAGTCTCAGGTCGCTACGGAGCATCCCTAGATCGCTAGATGCTTGCGATGTGATAAAACGGCTAGGTGCTAGTCGTTGCTAGGAGGTCATTTGCAACACGGTTGACGGAGTTTCCTGCCAATGGCTGCCGTGCTTGTCCCAGGTCAAGCTGAACCGAGAGCAGCGTGCCATGATCCACCAGCTGCCGTACGGGCACTTCTTGCGGATCGTAGCCGAGACGCTGAAGACGAAAGCGGGGGAGGTCGCCAAGCCGGCCATTTGGGATGCCGTGCACCTTTTGGAGGAGGAAGGAGAGATTGCGGAATGTGTCGAAGTGGAGAGGGATGTGAAGGCCATGAAGAAATTCAAGAAAAGCTTGACACATCTCAATGTGTTGAGCTTGCTTTCGTTGGCCAAGCGCAGGTGCCAAGACCATGTCTGTGAGGAGCTCACGCAGATTGCTGCACAGCTCCGCTTCCAGGCATGATCAATGTTCTATATATTCTATATGTACATTTACCGACTTATATGTTCCATACATATGTATGTATGCTTGTATGCATGTATGCATACATGTATGCATGTATGCCTGTATGCATGTATGTATGTATG